AATTTATTAACATACCTTTATAATTTGAATATATTTATTATTTTTAAAGAAAACTAAAAAGGGAAAATATAAAACCACTTGAGAAAAGTTATCTTGAAAACCGAAATGGCAATGACAGAAGATCAATTAGTCATAAAAGAGCATTATTTCAAAGTCCTGAAATGTATTATTCTAGAAAACGTGTGTGTTATAGTCAAAATCCAAATTCTGAAGAGTCATCTCCTCTTAGTGCTCTTTCAATTTGTAGCGATACATCAAATACTACACCAGTTAAAAGGTAATAATTTATAAAGGTATTTKAAATGTAAAATATATTTGATKATAGTATAAACGATGTCAATGATATCAATGATACTATAGTCAGGTTCAAATAATGAAGTGGTTGGTGACTCCATCATCCAACTCGAGATGTTCTACAGCTGGTACCAAAAATGTATTTATGTATACCTGTAGGAACCCAGTTTTTGTGTGTAAAAATTACCTTAAAGTACATTGTTTTGATGCCTAATGGCTTGGGTTGGGATTACCAACCGCCAGTTTGTTTGATGAAGATAAATAATACCGTTAATATGTATTTAAGATAATATCTTACATCGCTCATTTTCTAATTTTATTATAACGATAATGTTCTCACCATCCAATCTGTAAGAAGGACAAGAATATAATAAACAATAATTATTAATAAATTATAATGTATAGGTACTTATGAATTTTAATTTAAATTTAATTACAACAAATTTTTAATGTTTTTTTATGAAATTTAATAGTTACCTAATTTGCTCATTGTATATATTATTATCTCAAAACTTTCTGATCGTAAATACTATATATCTATATCTGTATATTATTTTTTTTATAAAGACTTGTGTCTTATGCCTATATATAAAAGGTGTCCCACCGAGATCTGACAAATGAAATAACTTTTGTTCTAATCAATATTTTTTAAAAATTTCATTTAAATATATTTCATAGACACTTTCGCTACATGTTTAGAATACATTTTTTATTTTTTGTTTTTTAATACTGAAAATAAAAAACTTGAAAATTGATAAATAAAATTCGAAATATCCATATAGCCAATTTGTAAATCTGATTTYYATAAAAATGTATRTGGTAAAAACACTTATTTAAGTCAAATGGCTGATTTTTTAAAACATTTTTAAATATCAATATTTTCGTTAAGTACATAAATTACGATCTAGTTTATGTTAGAAACATTTTAATTTCAAAAATATTTTATAATATGAACATTTTATAGGTTCATGCTAAAATCTAATTAATTTTCTATTGTATCTACTATTTTATTATAATATAATATTAAACTTTTACAATCGATTTAATTGTATAATTTTTATATATTTATGTGAATGACATCTAACATTTTAACCTGAGTGAATATAAAATGTATATCATACACTGCAACTGACATCAGAGTACATCGGCTTACATTTTACAATGACATAGTGTACTTGTGAACAAGGAAATTACAGGTACAAGTGGTAACAATATTATATAATTTTGCTGTCAAAAAATCTGATAAAAAATAGACAGTATTGTTTTATATTTCAGAAAAAAACATATTATATACAATTTTAAAAATATTTAGGGTTCTAAAATGCTCATAATTTGTTTTAAAACTAATATTTAAAAAAAAACCTAACCGGGCCTAAATAACATTCTTACCTTTATATTTAATAATAAATCAATTTAATATTTAAAAACAAAAGCTATATTAATAATGAGAATTTTTTTATTTCTCTTTAATTAAAAATATTTAGATTGGTAATGTATATGTAATTTTAAAAAGGCATGATAAGTGGGGCCACWAAAAAGAGTCAACATCATTGTAAAATCAATACATTTATCACTCAGCTCATAATCTAAAATGATTGAATAAAATGCATTATTCTGAACCTACTATTTGTTTCGTTGTGGGTTAGCAAGACGGACACAACACTTGTGGATATAATCATAATTCATGATGTTATCTAAATTCTAAACTATAAAAACTACAATGTTAGTAAAATACTAAAATGTATGTAGGTGAACTTAAATTATATGAATATAAAAATTGAGTTTTAAAATTTTCTAAAATAATCTTAAAGATTTGGATATTTTTGAGCAATAATAAGTAGATTTTTGAAAATAGTAGGTTATTAATATAAATTAATGTAAGTTTTAATATAAGTTAATGTATACCTATTACCTACCAACCTTTATTTTTATTCTTATATAATATGCTTCTATTTCTATGTAAATACAATACAATAATTTATAGAAACTGAACCTTGAATCTATTTAGGCATATAAGCATAAAGCCACACAATAATTGGCTTAAGGGCAAAATATGATGTTGAACTTGGTTAATGAATTGATGCAACACATAAACCTACAAGTTGTGTTTTCAAATGTATAACTGAAGGCGCCCGGCAGGTTTCYTTGAAGAATGGAGGATAGTTTTGGAGAAACGACCAACTGTTACAAGTAACTGAGATAGTATAGACACCTTGGCAGCAAAAATATCAATAAAAACCTATGTGGGGCCTTAGATAATAATCTTACCTTTGAATTTTAATATTGGTCAATTCACTTTATATCAAAACTAACAGCATTCTATTGAAACTAGAGGACGGAAATATGCTATGTTAAATAGCTAGGTACAAAATATGTCACCTGCCTCCCATCAGGACAAATTATTAACTATGCGGGTTAACTATCATATAATAATTGTTAACTCACAAGAAAAATGCAGTTACATACTATATTGTATATATTTTAGGCTAAATAATAACACTGTAATATAATATCTAAACAATTTATTATTTTAGAAATCTAATTTTTAACAATTGCGTAAGAACTAAAAACTTTAAAATTAATTTTACAACATGAAATATGCATTATAATTTTTAGTTTCTTAAAAAAAAATATTTTATTGTTTTTAGAATTTCAATAGAAAAATAACTTAACTCTTTACAATTAAATATGCATTTATAAWAACAATTTACTTCTAGAAAACCAATTARCTAAATATGCAATTAGTTAAGCATACTATTATACTAAATAGAATCAATCATAAGTATTCAATAATATAATAAATATAATTACATTTGTAAACCAAAATAACCATAATAAAAAACCCACATTATATAATTTAAAAATTATTTAATAATATAGTTAAAATCATTAAATTTACTATAAATGATATAGTAATCATAATTAATTATCTATTCTTTCTTGCCTTTTTTAATGAATTATAAATTTTATATAAATCACTGGATCTTAAATACTTAAATTTAAATACATTAGTTTACAGTTTAAGAGATCTGTGTATTTAGTACAGAAAATAAAATATAGTTCAGTCATTCCTTAATAAAATATGTATATGATTACACATAACATTAGAGATTACATTAATTTTAGAAACAAAAAAATACAGGCTAATTATTAAATTGAATAGAACTACTTAACACTAGAAGAAAAAAATTTCAATTAAATATAGATAATATAGAAATTAAATCGGGAAAATTAATTAAACCATAAATTAATGAAAATAAAACAAAAGAAAAGAAAATGGATAGTAACATTTAAATTTTTTCTGACTGAAAAATAGTACTATTGTTTCAGTAGTCAATAAAGAAAAATACATTTACCTAATTATTGAATATAAAGTATAAACATTAACCAGCAAAGATTCCTTCTGAATCTTTGGAATCAATATCCAGGTTAGAACAATAGTCAGAAGTAGAAGAAATTGGCCTACTTGGTAGGTCTTCAGTATTTTTGTTACAAGGTAATTTTTTAATATCTAGATATAATGCAAAATCATTGATTCCTTCACTGATAACTACATTTTCAATGGTTGAACTTTTTGATTTTGAGTCTGAACTAAATTTTTCAAGCTTACAATCAGTTTTTGGTGAAGTATCTATAAATAATACTTTTTTTACATCTGCCACAGACTTTTGTTTAGATATAGCAACATTATCCTTATGTTTCGGGGAATTTGATTTCAATTGTAATACTGTACTTTTGTGCTTCATCACTAGAGCACGCATCGCTTCACTAGTGCTAGTTTTTATTTCAGAACTTGTCTTCTGCAACCATTGTTTAGAACATACTTTGAATAATTGTTGAAGAAATTGTCGAAAYTGCTTGTGATGGCTATCGATACCACAATCTTTTAACACTTCCGAAACAGCCCATAGTAATTTCTGAAACAATTTTTGAATTAACTTGTGTTACAGTAAAACCCATTACAATCTCCAAGGGGCCAGTTTAAAAAAACTTAAAGTCCTATGGAAATCAGGACAATAAACATATTAATCAAAGGTAAAGTATTCCTTATAGATGTATACAATACCTCCAGGAGTCCACCACAAAAAAAAAGAAAGTAGAATTATAAATAATTAAAAATAAAAATTGATCAATAAACATTAATATTTGTTTGTTTGGAAGGGATTATCCAATAGATTAAGAATAGTATACCCTAACACTATTGTAGGTATAACTACATATTATATGATACTCAAGTTGTAGATACTCGATTAATGATTATACAGGGTGATTATTTTATCAAACAACACTCATTATTAAAAAAAGTATTGACTCTTTTCAAAATATTTTTTACATGGTTTCAAGTTGTTAAAAAACCAAGGTTTTAATTAAAAAATTATATTTTTAAATATTTTTTATCCTTATCATTTTTTAAGTTTTTTACTTTTTTGAATGACAACATAGTTTTAATTTCATATTCTAAAGCAGGATATTTTTCTAAGTATTTTGATACGTAAAAATCGAATTTTGGACGAGTAGTTTATGAGTTATAAGTATTTAAAGTTTAGAGAAGTGGTGTAGTGGACAAACATTTTGMGGGGTAACCCCGTACCACTCCACTCTGCAATCTAAACTTTAAATACTTATAACTCATAAACTACTCGTCCAAAATTCAATTTGAAAAAAGTCAATACTTTTTGAGATAATAAGTGTTTTAYGCTATTTTATCACCCTGTATATCACAACCGTCAACCACACAAACTCTTAAATACAGTACATAAATATTGCATTATCACTAAATTAATTTTTATATAGAAGACAGATAAGCGAAAAAATCAAYGGATACAGAGATCCAAATAAATTAATGTTTATAGAGACTAATGTAGTGACATATATATTATCAACAATAAAATGTATCACTAAATAATCTTATATAATATAATTTATAATTAGTAGGTAAATAGTATAAATAAGACGCAAAAAATTTCAGAAAGCAGCTTAGAAGACTCGTATTACCAAATTTTATAGCTACAGTAAAATTGTTATTAAAAAATATAAATACCTGTTTATGAAGTTTACTGAGTTCTTTTTGATTTGGTTTTGTATCAAATAAATTTTTTGGAGTTGCTGATTCTGAATTATTAAAAAATTTCAATACTCTTTGACATTTTTTGACTGGTTCTGTTCTAGTAATATTTGATTTCTGTATGTCCTCTTTGTCATCACCAAATAATTTTGCACTTAAAGGAGCAGCACTCCATCTAAAAAATTAAATAATTTATCAAAATTAAATAAATGTAGTTTTTCATTCTGTGTAATAAAATGTATCAGTAAATAACAATAAGAAAATAAGAAAATGACCGATGTAAGATATTATCTTAAATACATATTAACGGTATTATTTATCTTCATCAAACAAACTGGCAGTTGGTAATCCCAACTCAAGCCTTTAGGCATCAAAACAATGTACTTTAAGGTAATTTTCACACACAAAAACTGGGTTCCTACAGGTATACATAAATACATTTTTGGTACCAGCTGTAGAACATCTCGAGTTGGATGATGGAGTCACCAACCACTTCATTATTTGAACCTGACTATAGTATCATTGATATCATTGACATCGTTTATACTATCATCAAATATATTTTACATTTCAAATACCTTTATAAATTATTACCTTTTAACTGGTGTAGTATTTGATGTATCGCTACAAATTGAAAGAGCACTAAGAGGAGATGACTCTTCAGAATTTGGATTTTGACTATAACACACACGTTTTCTAGAATAATACATTTCAGGACTTTGAAATAATGCTCTTTTATGACTAATTGATCTTCTGTCATTGCCATTTCGGTTTTCAAGATAACTTTTCTCAAGTGGTTTTATATTTTCCCTTTTTAGTTTTCTTTAAAAATAATAAATATATTCAAATTATAAAGGTATGTTAATAAATTATTATAATAAATTCTTACCCTGGCACTAAAATTCGACGTTTGTTTTCAATAAGAGCTAATTTTGCTTTAGTCTCTGCTAATATTTGAGGTTTTGAGACTGGTTTTCTTCGAATTAACCGTATACTTTGTTCAACAGTCTTAACTTGTTGAATGACTAATCCCCGTTCTTTTTTAGGCTGTGGCGTCAATCCTGTGTTCATAAGCGATTTTGTCTCGTTTGAAACATACCTTTGTTGATACTTAGTTTCCAACAATGCCATTTCAGCCGATTTGTTATCAATGTTATAGCTGTAATAAAAATACAATTTTAAAAGAGATATTTATTTTAGATTTTTCATATTTAACTTACTAAACATCAAAACACTGAACATTAGATACTTCTGGCCATGACCAATTAATTGCACGGTCAATATTTTTTAACAATTTTGTTTCCGGTTTCTTCGTTAGAAAATTTGATTTTTCGTGTTGATACCATCTATCTAGTATATCATTTACACTCAGTCGACAAGTAGTTACTGTTGGTGGAGGAGGTAAGACATTGGATAATTCATTTTTTAATTTAGATATTATACGATCTCTATTTTGAAATAATAAAGACTGGTACTCGTCTTCATAACTGACTGAACTTGTTAATTTTACAACACAATCGTTTGCATCTAAGAATAAAAATATTTAATACCATTATAATATTAATTTTAACAAAATCACGACGACAAAAATACTCAAATAATATAATTCATATACAATGTACCAATTCAAAACTTTCTATGTACTTAGATGCATTTAAATTTAAATAAAAAGTGTAAAAATATATTAAACCCTCAATGCAATAGAAGGTATTATCATGAAATTATGACTAAATTAATAGTCTAAGATTAATAATACAAACAACATTATGATTAACTGATGATATAAGATCTATAATTTTCAATTTTTGGATTTCAATAAATACATGATTGAAAATTCACAACTAAATATTATTATAGTTTAGTATTGAGAGATAGACAGAACAATGTTTATTTTATCTCTCTGACCTAAATGCAACATGGCTAATTTGTATTCAGCAGAACCAATATTGTTATAAGCTTTAATGTTAAAGTGAATTGACATATTATCAAAATTAAAATTGAATACATTATCCGTATTTGTATGATGGTTCTTTTACAATATTTTATTCATTACATAGTGTGTTAAGGGCAGGTACTTAATACTTATGTGAATATTGCAATTTAAACGTGTCATGCGTCACAGAAAAATTGAAATGTTGTCAAATTAGCCAATGGACAAACACAGATAATGTGTATCACACTAAAATGATAGGTATAATCAATACTAWTATAAATTAAGATTTATTTAAAATTTCATAAATTACCAAATATCAAATCAATTTTTTTTACAAAAAATKGTAAGTTTTAACATATTTTGAGGCAATTTTTACAGGAAATCTTTGTGACAACAACAAAGATTCTGATCAACTTATACCTAAATATTAAAAATATATAAAAATAAATATGAAAAACCAAAAAAAACTTGTGAAATTTTGCAAGATGTTCTTCAATTACAAATTTAGACATTTGTTTTGAATTTGATCTGTTTTTCAAAATAAATCATAAAACTATCATAAATAAGGTGTATAAAATGTTGGGTTCTATTACTAGAAACACTAAGGACTTAAGAAATCCTCTATGTTTAAAAAATTTGTAYACTTCTTTAGTTAGAACAAACCTATAATTTGGGTCTTTAATTTGGTCTAATAATTATTCAACTTACTCAAATGAGCTTAATAATATGCAGTATAAATTTCTGAAAAGAGTGGCCTTTATTACTCATTATATGGCCTCCAGACTCTTTTTGGTTCAAGACTCTATAGGTGTTGACTCTTTTAACATCGGGTGTGATTTAATAGATATAATGTTTGTCTATGATATTTAAAATTATAATATAAACTTCTCAGCTATTTTTAATATAATTTGATTTAGAATTCCTAGTAGGTATACACGAAATTCTGATTTTTTCCATATCCMTAATTTTAATACAAATAGGTACTTATTGGAAAAAAATCATTTTTAACGTCAATAGAATCTTTACAGTCTTGGATTTTTTCATTTGTCTTGTCAAGTATTTAAAACCAAAACTTTGTTATTTATAAAACATAGTGCCTAATTATTTATTTTAGTTGTTTTTATAGACYAAAATTTTGTCTTTGTAATTTTTATTATCATCACTTTTTTGTTAGTGATTAAAGGGCTTTGTRCCATTGATTTTATACAAATAAATATATAAATATTCCAAACCAAATTCTGAGCTCATAACACAACATTATTAGATTATTAGGTTCTTAAGATACCTATTTAGATTTAAGAAAATTACTAAGTTATTCAATTTGTATGTATAGTGTTCTTACCATTGGCAAACAGTTCTTCGTCCGAGAATAAAGATTCTTCGTCCACTGCTGACATGTTTTTATTTTTCATCATTGAAGTTGTATTTCAAACATTATTATTGCACAAAATTTAAGATTGATCACGAAATAATTACCGTACCTATAACGGTTATCTAAATAGATTTTGAAAGACAAATTAGTTATTTTTKACGTCTTCAATAACCTAATACACTGTCACTGCACGTCAATTACTGAATAGACATTTATCATGATATTGATTCGTATCTGAATCATAGATCAAGGTTCTCACAGTGCTACAGACAAATAGGTACGCTGTAAATTGCAACGAYTTTTAACAGACAATAGTCAAAAAATTGAAATGTCTTACAGACGTACAGTATAGGTACAATGTAGTAAAAGTAAATCAGTAAGTTGTATACTTTAATATTAAACGGTTATGAGTTTATGACTCCATATACCTAACTACAGCAGTAACTCACCGTTTTACTTACCACCATTACCGTTACTACGTTCCATTCAACCAGTGATGCGATAACMACAGTTTAATTGATAAAAATGACAAAAAGATAAACCAATGCCATCAAAAGTGTTTGTTTACATTTTAAATAACTAAAATCACTAAAAATCTATACAACAATAATCCGATAATCGTCTGTCGTCCGACTTGGTAAGTTTTCATTCATTTGTTTTATATTTTGTTTAATATGGCAGAAACTATGTTGAATATTGAGGACATGGAGATTGTCTTGGACGAAGGTACACCAGACGTCATTATGGATGTTTTTAAAGATGACAACATGTCTGAAAAAGACATATTTGATTTTTTGGATGTTCAAGAAATCGAAACACCCACCATAGAAACTAAAATYGAAGTTCCAGATGGTACTTCTGAAAATGAAAAATTAGCTATTGTTTACAATTTAGAAGGAAATACCATACAAAGCTATGATTCAGACCAAGACATTAGTGCCAAACCTGTTGAAGATAAAATTAATAACTCACAAAGCACAAGTACAAAATTAGACGACAAAGATGACGACATTGTTGTTGAAGGACCCCGCTCAAGACAAATGGGAAAAATTCCATTAGCCTTGAGGGGGCTCATTGGTCAAGCAAAAATGTTTATGTTAAAAAAAAATTATAACATGGCCATTAAAATTTGTGTGAATATATTGAAAGAGTGTCCAAATGCATCTGAACCATTTTTCACATTGTCTGACATCTATGAGCAAATGGGAAACATGAAGAAAAGTTTGGAAACAGCTGTAATTGGTAACAGTTTAAGTAGYGTAACATCTGAAGATTGGGTATTATTAGGCGAAACATGTGAGGCAAATAACATGTTGCCTTTAACAGATTTTTGTTTGACAAAAGCCATACAAAAAGATAGGCGTAATTTAGACTTGCATATTAAAAGGGCATCAATATTAGAACAACTTGGTACTGCTAAAAGTGCCATGAATGAATATGATCGTCTATTACGGAAGTTACGACCTGATCAAAAAGATTCAATTACTGCTTTATCTAAATTACTAATTGACAACTTTGTCAAAAACAAAAATTATGAACGTGCATCAAATATATTAATACATGTGTTTAGTTTGTTTCCTGATGATATAAAACCTAATGATTTTGTTACATGTTTAGATTATCTTGTTAAAACTAAAAACTTTAAAAAAAGTTTAGAATTGTTGTACGATCATTATAATCTTGAGTTTATAGCTGATGTGAGTAATGAAACATCTATAACAGAAATTGTTGAATGCAATGCTCCTATTACTATGCCAATGCTAGTAAGAGTCAAACTTATTGAAATTTTGGTGCAACTTGAAGCATTTTCCATATTACCCCCAATTTATGAACCAGTTTTAAATATGACGGATGTAAATAGATTTCATTTAGATGTTGCTAATATCCTGTTTGAGGCCAATCAGCATAAATATGCAATTATATTTCTAGAGCGATTGATTAACTGTAAAAATGAGATATTTGATCAGCATGCACTCAAAATTAAGTATTMTGAATGTTTAAAAACTTTAGGACATCTAGAACAAGCTATTGACAATTATAACAAGCTACTGGATGTCAATCCACAACAATTAACAGTTAAATTTGATCTATATATGTCATTGAAAAAGTTAAACAGAATAGACCAAAGTCTAAAAGTATTATTTCAGAATGGCGTGGAAAATCTAGACTGTAGATTGTTGTATGAATATGTATTGGCATCATATGATAAAGATGATATGTTTGAGAATTGTTGGAAAGCAGCCAAGTTGATGTTTTCTCGTCACTGTTTACCTGTACATTCGTTAAGAGAAGTTAAATCTATGTTGGCTATACATAATGTAGAAAATAGACACGATACTTTGTTAACAATGAAGAAAGAATTGTATGGTTATCAACATGATAATATCTTGACCATTAATCCACTACCAAGTCCTGAAGAAGAATGGAACATTATGTATGGTATTTGTTTGAAGTGCATTGAGAAAAATCTTTACTACAAAGGATTAAAGTTGCTGCTTTCAGCAATGAACTCTACTGTATTAGTAAACTACAATCATCAAATTGTTTTGAATGCTATTAAATTTGCATACAAAGTAAGAGCATTCAAACTAGGATTCATGTTGTGCAGATACTTATTATTAAAGTATCCTCAAGCACCACAGATTTCCAATTTATTTTGTTTCCTCTTGAAAAAGTGTGGTGCCAAAAAACAAGCAAAATTTATTTTTCGACTTGCTGCCAAGTATCCAGATAATATTGCCCTTAATTTACTAGACACCAATGTATTTAATGATACATATAATTATCAGCTTTTATTTTCAAGGTATACTGAACTACTGAACAAACTAGATGACAAAAGTCAGCTCTACTTCATGCTTGGAGTGATTATACTCAGACTGTGTACATTTAAAGTTGGTGCAGACAGACACAGTTTATCACTCCAGGGCATTGGATTCTTAATGAAGTATAAAGAACACAGAGGTGTTGAACATGAACAGGAATGTTATTTCAACATTGCTAGAGCATATCATCAAGTCGGTATGGTAKCAAACTCTCTGCATTACTATAAATTAGTTTTGGAAACCAAACCATTTAGGGAAGATTATTGTTTAAAACATGCTGCAGCTTATAATTTGCATTTGATTTACCTGGACTCTGGAAATTTTGAAGTTGCGTTGATGTATATTAGTCATGTGCAAGTTTGATTTATTATTAATTTAATTTTTGTATTTATTTTTTACTAATTTTACAAAAATTTATAATTTTATAATTATTTTAATTAATGTTCAATTGTGGTGTTTAATGAATAAAGTATTGTTGATTGTAAATTGTAATCAGTTTTATATTTAATTTTAAATGTATTTATTTATTTTTATATTTTAATATTTAATATGTACAATGTACATACAATAAAATAGCTGTTAATTTTGATCATATTTATTAGAATCATGGCTTCTACAATCAGTAAAGCTTGCAACAAAATACCATTTGAATTATTTTGTCGAGTATGTGAAGACATTTATAATGCTAAAAACGAAAATAAAGTCCTCATTCTAAAAAAATTCATTAGTAAATGTCGAGGGTCAATTGAGAAAAGTGACAACTTAAATATAGTAAGTTAACTAATACTAGATAAAATATCTCATTCCGTTTATACTTTACCTATACCTATAATATGTTTAGGAAGATACATTTTATCCGGCATTAAGATTACTGATACCTGTAGCAGACAAACAAAGGGGTGCATATGGCGTTAAAGAAGCTGCGTTAGGAAGATTGTATGTCAAGATATTATGCCTTGCAAAAGACAGTCCAGATGCTCAGAAGCTTTTGAATTTCAGGCATGTAATTTGCTAAGATTATCAGTATCCTAAATATGCTAAAATATTGATAAATAATAATAGTAATTTTAATATTTATGCAGGCTGCCAAAATTTTCTGGATCTACAGCTGGAGATTTTGCTGAAACTCTATTTTGGGTTATTAGAAGTCGATTTGAAGATAATGGTTCAGTGACTATTGCTGATATTAATCAATTATTGGATGAAATAGCTATGAAACATGCTATCAATGAATCAAGTAATTTATATTTCAGTATAATATACTATATAGATACAATCTTGTTTATAAATTTATGACCGTTGAACATTTAAATTATATATATGCATATATTAGGGGAAGTGGAACAAATTTTACAATTAATGCTATTAAAACTCAGTGCGAATGAGCAAAAATGGTTGATTCGRCTATTATTAAAAGAAATGCGCTTGGGTATTGCGCATACAAAAATATTAAATGCATATCATAACGATGCCAACGATTTATATGATGTTTGCAATGATTTAACAAAGGTAATATGATATATCTATGTAAAATTTTAGAAAATTATAAAATAAAATATGTTATTAATTTAGGTATGCAAAATGCTTAATAAYCCATCAGTGGTTTTGCATGAGATATCTGTTAATTTATTTGAACCTTTTTGCCCAATGCTAAGCCAGCGTTGTGAAATTACTGATGATAATAAAATACTTAAAACAATTAAGTATGATGAATTATTTGTTGACATTAAATTGGATGGTGAAAGATTTCAACTCCATTGGTCCAAAGAAAAAAACCTTTTTAAATATTATTCAAGGTATGTTAATAAATGTTTCAATAATTTATATAGGTATTACTGTATTATTTATCTGTTCTTGTTTGAACTATTTGTTTATTTTTATAGAAAAGGCAATGATTATACAGACACATATGGCTGTGATGATGTTAATGGTATTCTGAGCCCAATATTAGCAAAACAGTTTAAATCTGATGTAAAGAATTGTATCTTAGATGGTGAGATGATGTGTTATAACACAAAGTACAAATCATTTTCTACAAAAGGTAAGATACTATTATTATTAATTACAACAATTATTATTATTATTATTATTTTAGCCATGAATATTGATGTAAAAAAACTAAGAATAGGAAATACACATCAACCCTGTTTTTGTGTATTTGATATTCTCTATTATAATGATCAAGTAATTACAAACCGTCCATTGGAAGAACGATTAGATATTTTAAATACAATATTTGAACCATTAGATGGGATTTTTGTACATACCACTCGATATAAAGCAAGAAAGTAATTAATTTAAATATGTTATCATTGATTTTAAATATATTTATAAGTTATAACCAATGRTATTATTTAAATATAAATTAATATAAATCTTATTTAAAATATTTTAGAAATGAATTAATGAAATATCTCAATGATGCAATTGATAACCATGAAGAGGGCATTGTAGTTAAAGATCCACTATCAATTTACAAGCCAAATTCACGAAATTCAGGATGGTATAAAATTAAACCAGAAGTAAGAATTTCTCAATCTTTCTACTACCAAAATTTATTTAATCAAACACAGTTATTAAATATGTTTTAGTATACAGATGGTGCACTCATTGAATTAGACCTTTTAATTATTGGTGGATATTATGGGGAAGGTAAAAATCGAGGTGTGGTGAGCCATTTCCTTATGGGTCTTTTAGAAAAAGGTAAAACTTTTTAAATTTTTAACTACTTTTTTTCAAATAATTTTTTTTCAATCACAACCTAGTTTTTAAGACAGTCTATTATTCTATCTAATTTTCTAGTCCTCACTATTTATATCATTAATAGATGGTGAATCATTTAAGTGTTCTGCTATCAGTCGAGTTAGTTCTGGATTATCAATAGAAGAACTAGCTGATTTATCAAGACAATTGTCTTTTCACTGGAAAAGAGTTAATGCTGGAGTGATGCCAACAAACATTGAGTGGGGTAAAGAAAAGCCAGATCTTTGGATTGAACCTGAATCATCAGTTATTCTACAGGTGAAAAGAAAATTATTGCGCATCACATATAATAAGTGTTTGAAATAGTTATGATGTAGGTACATTTTGTAAACAGGTAAAGGCAACAGAAATTATGACAAGCCACAGTTTTAAAAATAATATAACATTACGTTTTCCACGAATTGAAAAAGTTCGTTATGACAAACCGTGGCATGACTGTCTGACCGTTGAGGATTTTGAGTCTATAATCAGGGTGTGTTAATTTAAATATTACAGAAATAATAATTGAAAATCATGGATTGGTTGCTAATTCAAGAAATCTTTTTCCCCTTATAGCGTACGGAAGGAAAGTTATATACTTCATGTACTGGTGTAATTAATTCTTCAGATAAAATTAAAAAATCCCGTGTGACATTAACTGTTGATAAAAAATTTCAAGGCCCAAATATAAGAGATATCAAATATATTAATAATATGTTTGAAGACAAAGAATTCTGTATCCTCAACGATAGTGAAACAATGAGCAAAATTGAAATTGAAAAAAAGATTCTTGAATATGGTGGTCAAGTCGTGCAAAACCCTGGTAAAAGAAATATTACTAGCTAATAGTTATTTAATACTTTGTACAACAAATTGAATGAAATGTAATTTACTTATTATTAGGTAACAATACTTTTTGTGTTCTTGCCAACAACATCAAACATACAAGGGCGCATGCAATAAAATTATCAGGCAAACATAGTATAATAAGTACAAAATGGATACTGTCATGTTTTACTGACAATGAATTTCTTAACTGGACTCCCGAAAATGTTTTATTTTTATCCAAGGAACACCAGCTATTAATGGATGAAAAATTTGATCAGTATGGTGACAGTTACACAGAATTAGCTACTGTTGAAACATTACGSCGTGCAATGAATCGAGTTGAACTAGATGTATGCATCATTAATCATTGTTATGTTTCGGAGTTAAAATAATTAATACCACAATTATTATTTATAACTTATCATGGTTTTGAACAGGACGATTTAGTCAACCCAGAAGTTGATCCTTTTTTGGAATTCCAAAATGAACTGTTTAATGAAGAACCATGTTTCAAAATTTTTGAGAAATTTCAAGTCTATTTTGATRATTTAAATTTAGTAAGTTTGATAAACATTATTTTCCTACAAAAAGTTCCCCAATAATAATTTTCAAATGTATAAATAAATATAAAAAATAAAAAAGAGATTAAATAAATTTTAATATGTCTATGTAGCCATATTTGTAGGAACTATATTTCAGTTATCTTTCTTCAAGTAAACACTTAACAATTACTTTTTTGGTTGATAGAACAGAAATGTTTATTCTATACATACTTAACATTGCATTTATCAACTACTTATTGTTTAATTTTGTTTACACGTTTATTTAATAAGTATAAAGTATAATTGGGTTTAAGTTAAAAATTAAATAAAAAATAAGTCATTGTATTATATTTAATGTGATATTGCTAAATAAACAAACAAGTTTATATAGTTCAAGCATGGGCGGATAGGCCATTTTTGGCTTACCGGAAAATTTTAAAATGGGGCCCCCCACATGAAAAAAATTTAATAATACATGATAGTAAAGGACCCCATTACCGAAATACGAAGGGGGGCCCACCGGGATATGCCTGGTAGGCCTATCCGCCCATGAGTTCAACGATATTTTTTGGGGGGAATTTTAGTCACAACTTTCATACTAAATGTAATATTTTTCTATGAAAATTAACATCATATTATTGAATATATTTCAGGAAAATTTGCCTGTCAGAAATTTCCACACGAATACAGTGCTGGAAATGTTGATCTTTAAATTTAATGGTGGCAAAGTCTGTAAAAATATTGATAACAATACTACTCATGTTGTAATTCATTCAAGGTATGTTTGCAACTTGTTAGCTAATTTTTTAATATTTTTAAACATTAATATTCTTTCTGTTATTTTAGTAATAAAAATAACACTAATAAATATCAAACTATGAAAAGAGATCGAAACCAAGCATTTGAAATTGTCGATGAGAACTGGATTAAACAAAAAATAAAATGGTAGACAAAAAAAAAATTGATTTGTGATATTTATTAATTTTCTTATTCCAATTTGTGCACAACTCTCTATAATATAAACTACTACATTTATAATAATATATCTATACTATAAAAAAACGGGTTTTTTGTTTTGTTAATTACATTCTTGTTTAGATTTCACTCAAACTTACTAAAATTATAAATAAATAAAAAATTCATCATCCTTAAAACATAAATAGTCTACTTTATTAGCTAATTTGTCTCAGTCCGTTGAAACAAAACAGCCTTAATAAATATATAATTATAATTGTTACTGTTAAAATATTAATTTTTAATATTTACATTTTCCAAAATAGTCCGTAACATAAAAAAAAAACAAAATAAATCTGTACTTTGATAAATAAATAGGTAGGCCTGGGATATGGGCTTTGTGTAATGATTGTTTATATTAAAAGACAAGAAAAATCAAAAACACATTATTAAATTATAGGTAAGTGGGATATAAGAGAGGAAGTCAAAAGTTTATATTTTGAGATCTAATGTTCAATTCTTAAATTTTCTTTTTCTTTCTTTTGTTGTTTTACTCTATTTGCATGTATGCACTTCAGCATTACGGATACATGTCTTACACTGCACATAACAACACCAATGAAATTTGCATTCGCATTTTTCGCGTGTGACTAATCGTTGTGTATTGTAGCCTCTACCACAACATAGTAAACTGCAACCATCCATCCCATGTGATGTACGGTTGCATTCTCGACCATGAGTACCTGAAAAAAAAAAATATAATGTAAACATATAATTTATGAAACACACAGACTATGTAAAAAAAGTATAGTTTTAGAATTTACTAATTATGACACGGGGTGTAATAGCAAGTCTTGTCAAAAAAAAATGGTTCYACTTAAATCTTTTATGGATATTGTGAATATTATAAAATACTAATTATAGTTAATATGTATAATTAAATATTGTATAAAATATTTTGAAAAAAGTTGTTAAGTTTTAAACTAATTGAGACAAAAAAAATATTGATATTTAATAAAAAAAAAAAAACTACTTAGATAAATATTTTCATCATAAAAATTTACCTAATAATCTAATTTTATAAATTGGCTATTTTGAATTTTTCCAAAAAAAATTAATCAAATTTTAAACTTTTTCTATGTTATATGTGTAGCAAAACAACTATAAATTAAATATAAAAAAAAATTTAATATTGATTAGAACAAAAGTTATTTCATGTGTGATATCTTCCTAATACACCCTGTATTATCACACAATATAAATGGAACAATGTTTCAGAAACATATATAATGATATGGATTTGAGATACTTCTATTTCTGTACTAATAGTAAACACTTATGGCTAAGACTTGGATTTTTATGTAAATACATATTTTTACTAAAGCATTATAAATTAATTGAGACAAATGATAAATTAGTTTCACACAATTTACAATAAAATAATATAGGTTTATTGTATTTTACCTATTTTTACATAATTTGTAAGATTTCCACTTTGGCTTTACATATTTCATAAATTTCTAATTCCCTAATACACAAAAGTATAATAATTACTCAATTTACATTACACAAATTGGTGGTTAAGTAGTAAATTAAATAAATAAAGAATATTTTAAGTGTGTAATTATAGAAAAGAAATTTTAAATCCAAATCGTCGTAGTTTTAATAAAAAAAAACTTTAAAAAATATTAGGTATATAGTTGTTTTACTTACCRGTTACCAAAAATRAAAAATAAATTCACTTATTACTACAWATTTTAGCTTTTTATGGCATAAATTCTAGTCCTTCTTATGACTTACGAGTTTATGAGAATGGAATAATTTATCAATGTTATACTTGTCAAATCAATTATTTATTCAAAACTGATCTTTATGAAACTTCAATAAATAATTCACTCAAATGTATATCATAATTAAAAATTGTTTTTTTTTTTTTTATTCAGCATTGTACTATTAAATTTTGATAGTATGATGACTATACATGTCTACATGTCAACACGAGGCTTAAAAGATTATAGGCTTTTTGACCCCAAGAGGATATGCTGATGTACCTAATCATAAAATACGTGTCAATATTCACTATATTATCATATCAGTCGTTCCTCGTTATTAAAGAAGAGTAGGTAATAAACTAATAATTAATAATACACTGCAACTAACCATAACGAACGAAAATCACACATCAATCATGATTCATGAGAACGAGAATGTTTGTTTTCGACGGGGTATCGTTGGTTAAGAGCACAGTTATTTATCATTATCGATTACAAAACACACACATCTATATTCTATAGCCATCATAACTCATAACACAATATTATTATATTATACGATGTAATCGACATCTTGAGGAAATCTCGAGCTATATATTATAATAATACTATGGCTTATTGGCTATTGAGTCTGAGAGCACAATAATCGTAGACACGGGCGACGGGCACTTATATGTATAATAATATATTATACTTCTAAAACGTCCAGTGGCATGATATAGTGAGCGGGGGAGGAGGTGACTTTATGTGTATCAGACACGTGTAATAAATGTATTAAAAATGTACTTTTAGATGATTTTAAAAATAGATAGATACCACCTCAGAAATGCATATTTTAATGTAGGTATATCGGAATAGTGGATCATATCGGTTTAAATGAAACCATAGAGGCATAGAATATTCTATGATGAAACGTTAGATAAAGAAACTAAGATGTTCTTGTATAAAATAGGTAAATATAATTTATTATAAAAGATGAAATTGTATTATACCTAGCTGAAAAAACAAATATTTACAGCAGATTGTAAAAATGCACTAAAAATGTTGGACTAAATTGTTTTGTTGTATTTATTATATTATTATTAATTGTTGTTTTATTACCTATATGATTAGATCGCTTCCATATCAATTTCATTCGAACTTTTAATAAAAACAAAAATATTTATAAGTTAATAAATTATAGAAATTCAAGATTGTCATTGGCGAATAGGAGCGCTGTAAACCTTAACGCATGGATTTGCATTTAAATCATCAGTACACGATGTTGGCAATATATGCAGCCTATACATTTTAAATTTTATAATCAATTTTTGTTTTTTGCAAAATAGTTTTTAATAAAGTTCAAATATAACTATAGATAATGCATTAATATACAAATATACTTTATGGCTTATATAATAAGCAAAAACCTAATATGAAAATAACATTTTGGTTTTTTATTTGACCCACTTATCTATTAATGTATTGGAAAAAAATGCGTATTCTAAGTCTTTGGACCATAKTAAGACCATAATAATATTATTACCTATAGAACCAGCAGTGATGTTTCTAATGCAGTAATTGGGCGAGTCGTCAATGTAGACGAGATCGCTTGCCGTCGGTAGACTAAACCTAGGATCCCTGATCTGCAAGCGTCCTCGTCTGGTAGCCCTCACCTCGATGGCGCCTTCGTACTTTTCTTTCAGATGTTCACCTGAAACAGAGGACACAGTTATTGTCACATATTCACATAAATAATGTTATATCACACACTTATGCAAGTATGTATAATATATGGGTAGATTCTTTTAACAATTTTATGGACTATGATAATTTTTAAAAGCATTCTACTATTTTAATTTTACCCTGTGTCCCTRCGAAATTGTCGGTTCGTTTCGCACTACCTTCGTTTATTTAAAATTTGAATGTATGTAAGTAAAATAAAAATAATCGTTCTGGAATATTTGGGATATCGTAAATATTTTAATAAAAGTACTTAAGTGCTTTTGATTGTAAAATACTTACAATAAATGTATATACCAAAGCAGGTACCTAAATAAGGGGTTGACGTTATTTAAAATCAAAAATTGATATATATAGTGATGAGTTCATCGACGTTCCGGAGGAAAGGTGAACACAATTATGATAATACAATGGACGTTAAATAAAAGTAAGAACTGTATATCGTGTATCTTAAATAATTAAATGTTTTCTAAATATAATCAATATAAGTATGGGTAGATAGGTTGATACCAGAAAACGGAACTGGTATATAAGGTATCTATCCTATAAGGAAGATCTATCCTCTATAGAAGATCGCATAATTCGCATATGGCATATTAATACATTTTGTAGTATTGCATATTTGCACRCGATCATATAATTATATTCCCATTGATTTCGTGACGCTAACTGTTCATGAAATTGATGGTTACCGGTAAGTCGTAGGTACCACCATATAAAGCTTCAGGAAGGTGGAAATTCTGTATACCCTCAGTCTCACCACAACCAATGATCAACAATACAAAATAATATTGATGATGTCACGGACACGTGATGGTACAAGTCAAAAGCACTGAAGGTTTCCAGCGATTTTTGGTTATGTTTTTTCTATACTATTATTATTATTATTATTATTCGTCGGTACAGTGAGCTCTGCAGAGGATCCAATAAGGCGCAGGCGAAGAACGTAGGTAATCGGATTAGAATATATAGCGACCGAGCGGCGGTGGTGTCACACGCCGTCTTATTTATGTTCTAATGTACCATAATACCTATATGATACCTACCTAACTATATAATGCGTGTAATATACTGGCGGCGGCGGTCGGTATATTACTAGGTATAATAATATAATATGCTATACGTACAATATATAATACGAACACACACGAACACTATTATTGGTCCATAAAACGAAAAAGAAATACGTCCAATATAGTCGGGTGTTAAAATAACGACTAAAACGTCAGTGTCCATAAAAAAAATTATATTATATAGGCGCCCGCCGCCGTGCACAATCCTCGTCGCGGACCGTTATTATGATAATACATAACACATATATACTTAAAGGAGCTGGTACCTAGCTATATTTAACATATTATAAACTCCATGGTAAGTATATATGTATATATATATATACAGGGTGATTTTTCTATCAAACAACACTCATTATTTCAAAAACTATTRACATTTTAGATCCATCTTGTTCTAGAACTATATATTTTTTAAATATTTTTACCCTTATATTTATCAGGCAAACCATTATCAACTTTTGATTTTCAAATGACAACCTATGCTTAAAATGTCATAAACTAAAAAGGCTATTTTTTCAATGAATTTTCACGTTTAAATTTTAAATTTTCGTTAATCCGTTTACAAGATATAGCCCCCCCCCCCAAATTTTGGTGGTTTTGGTGTTATATAGGTGTATGTTAGGCGATATTTACACACGAACACCATATAAGTGTTCTTTGATAAAAGAATCACCCTGTATATATGAACCAATAATAGAATGAGTRCATGATATTATATCGTCATTATTACTGTAGTGTTGGTACAAATTGGTTTACCYAATACCGACAATAGGTTTATAATATGCGGTAAAGAGACAGACGAAAATCATTTTAAAAACCCATTACATTCTCGCATAAGTGATAATATCGCTATTGTCGCTTTTCGTGTTCGTTATACGGCTTATTATTATGTTGTACGGATATAGAGGAACACTGCATTAATATGGGCAATACATGTTTTCTGTCGTGAACATACTGWATGTGCAAGGTACTTCGAGAATAAATACATATAGGCAGGGATGATGGACTGCAGGTCCGGCTGAATGTACAGGAGATTTCGCTCGGTGGC